CAAGGGACTATTTCTGGTGTTCTGATTCTGGAAAACTCCAAATGGCCATTGTGGCTATTTATTAACCCACAACATCGTTAACCATAGCCCTATTAAATATGATGAACGAGTTCTAGGTTCAGATATTTAAATATCAGTTCACAGGGATTGCAGAAGGCCAAGTCGGTGCTACAAAATGCAAAGGCTTTGGGCAAATGGCATGACGTCAACTTGTGATTACATGTGATTAAATCTAGATGTGACAAAATCAACTAAACGTGAAATGCCGATGTAAAAAGAAACTTAAAGAAAAGACATTTAATTATTTAAGTTCTGTCTAATGAATCTGAAATATACCTATCATTGTACGGGCAGGTCTGATATCACCGAGCGCCGCTGAGAAAGCTCTCTGCAAATACGCAGGCTAGCACTTTGCACAAATCAGAAAAACTGTCCCCCTCAGCCCGAACAATCCCATGAATGTAGAAATAAGTGGCCTTTGGGTAGACAAATTAGAAAAAGTCCCCCCCTCACATGGAGGCTTGGCCCCTAGTGAGAAATGGAAAAAGGTACCCCTTGCTCCAGATATCAGTCCTTCAGAGAGCGTGATCTTGCTTAGGCACCCTTGGGGGTCCTTGGTCCTTTAAGGAAGTGCTCACGGTATACGAAAGAAGAGAACACCTCTTTTAACCTACCTGTTACAACTGTTGTATTTCCGCCCTTCTATAACCTCAAGCTTAAAAAAAAAAAAAAAATCAGTATCCTTTATGGCAGAAGGAAAAAAAGAAACCCCTTCTATCGTCTCAATAAGCATACTCTCACACTCCTGTTTGCTCTCCTGGTGAATCAGAGCAGTTCCAGGAAACTGTTGCAGGACACAGTTCTGAAAATTTGGGCAGTGTGTGAGTCAGCCCAGGCTGGCATGTGCTGGCCCTTAGCTCTCCTCCTTTCCTAGGCCCAGCCAGCCCTGCCAGCCTTTCAAGTCCTCCATAATCACCACTTAACACTTCACTCCATTTATCACTTTGCTTTTATTGCAGGCAAACAAAGGGAAAAGGTATCACTTTCTCCTTCTCGATAGCCTGCTAATTTGTCACACTGTGTCTTCAGTTTGGGTATAGCACTGTATCTGCAGAACAAAACTATCAGAAACCCTCAGTGTGAGAATCTTAAATGTTATAACCTGCTCCCCTATCTCCTACCCAGAAGGAGCCCTGGTGGTACAGTGGTTCAGTGCTTGGCTGGTGTGAGAAAGATGTGGCAGTCCGCTTCTGTAAAGATTACAGCCTTGGAAACCCTCCAGGGCAGTTCTACTCTGTCCTATAGGGTCACTATGAGTCGGAATTGACTCGATGGCAATGGATATCCCCTATTCAGGAAAGGATATATTTTGGTTTAAGAAAGAAAGAAAAGAAAGAGGTAAAAGGAAGGGTTTATCTGGAAATCACTGAGGATAAATGGTAAAAAGAAGTCACTGTGAGGCAGACCAGTCTGGTGAGTATCTCTTTAAAACAAGCTACCAAGAATGCTCTCAGTCTAGTAATACCATAAATGTCCTGCTGCTGTCTCGGCTTTCAGATTCTTCCCCGGACTTTCCATGAGCATTCCACTGGGAACTGTCTGGAATCCCAGATGAAAACAGCAATAACCCAATTCCCTTGTTAGAATATTTATTTTCTTTTAGGTTTGGAAACCCAGCTGAGATGTTTCTTCAAGTGTGCGGCACAGCCGCGGCCATCATGGGGGATACATGAGATGCTTCTCAGGCAGCATGACAAGCAGCCGAGCCCAGGAACGGCAGAGACAGGAGGCAGCTAGGCCTCTTTCGGAAAGCCCCAGCTGAGGGCAAACAGCAAGAGCCTGGGAACCTCCACTTTTGGAGGATTCATTCCAGATGTGGGAACCAGTGGTGTCACAACAGGGCTGAGGCCGATTACCAAGGAGAGGTTATCTAGAGCTAGGCCACCACAGAGTAGCCATTCAGGAAAAATCCTCCCCTGGCCTGAATCCATAATCTGACAACTGATTATATTCCAAGGTCAGCAGTAATACGCCACAGCCCTACCTCTGATAATTATCCATGCGGGGATCCATCCATCCATCCAAGGGTGATAGGCACAATATTAAACAACTGACTGACCAGTTAGAACAGATTCCAACCGTAAACCACTGCTCTGGCCACCATCAGTATTGAATACCGGCTCAGTGACACCCTGAATCCATCCATCCATATAAAAAATATTGACTAAACACATACTTACATAGTGGCATACTGGATAAGAACTTAGGCTCTGGAGTCAGACAGACCTGAGACAGAGACCTCTTACTAGCTATGTGACCTTGGCAAGTTACTTAAATTCTCTAAGCCCTGTTTCTTGTGTATGACATGGCGACAAAAAGAATACCTACCTTATGGGTATTGTTGTGGGAATTAAATAAAATAATTTACATACAAGACTTTACACAGTGCTTGGTACAGGGTAATCCCACAAAAAACGTTCTGTATTATCATTGCGCATTAGGTACAGAGTAGGGTCTGGTAAAATATTGGTGAGCAGAACAGACACAGCTCAAAGAGGAAGCTGTCTAGTCATGAAACAATTAAGAGTTACTATGGAAGAAACAGTTGTGAGTAGGGAGAATGCCTCCTCGGATGAGAATCACAATACTTTAAAGTTAGGAGGGCTATTAAAAAGATTCTCTTGACCAACCACAATATTGTATGGGAGGAAAACTGAGTTTAATGACTCACAGTCAAACAGCTAGTTTACCACAGAACTAGTTAAGAGTTAAGGTCTTGTGCCTGCCAGTTCAGTATTTTTGTTTGTTTGCTTTCACCATGATAACTTCTTACAAAGAGCCTATGTACTATGGTAAAAAAAATTACTCTGTCCTATGCTTAAAAAAAAAAAAAAAAAACAACTATGGTAAAAAAGCTTACATGTGTAAAGGCATCCAGAGGCAAACCAGGAGTTAGGGCCTCCTTGGAGGATGTCTCAAAATATAGGACTAAAACGCTATGAAAGAAACCTCTGCCTGTTAGGGAGAAGTATTCACGATTCTCTTTGTTTTCCTCCCCCTACAAGAATTTAAGCTCTACAAGGATTTTGTCTGTTTTGCTCATTTCTGTATCTTGATACCTAGAGGGCTCCTGGAGGAAATTTTGATATTATCTGACTGCTGTTTCTTTTTGAGTCATATCTGCTTCACTGGTGCCTTAACACTTTGGTTTATAAGAGTCATGACCCTGGCACCTTTGCAGTCCCAGTCACTTCTTTAAAGAAGGCAGCCCAGAAAGGAAGCATGAACTTTACTTCCCTGCCAGGTGAAGCAGGAATGCCTTGACCACAGCATGTAACAACTGTGTAAATACTGCTGGACACAGGGAGCTGGAGAATGGGAAGGATCTGCATGGCCCACAGCACCTTGTAAAAATCATTGTGGGACGGAAGGGAGCAGGCTATCACCACAGTCATCTGATTGCTGAATTATCACACGGAAAGAAAAGAGGAGCCTGCATCCTCTCTCTCCTGTTCTCCATGTCCAGCAAGCAACCCTGTGGCTTCAGAGGAGGGGTGGAGCAGGGGAAGAATAACCTGGGGAGCATTACCATGCCAGAAAGGGACAGCAAGCACGACTATGGTGCCATCTAGGTCATTGGGAATCAACGAGGGAAGGGCCAAGATGACTCCCCCAGTGTCCTCCACAACCTGGTCTTGTGCCCTCAGGATAATACTCAAACCAAAGAATCCGGCATTTTCTTGGATACCTTGATCAGGGTGGGAATCAGGAGACTCGTTCTCCCCAGCTGCCCCAATCACATTTTATCACCCGGGCTGGGTGGCAGCACAGGGAAGAAAGACAGAAAGGAAAAGACAGGTGGCAGCTTTGGAGACTAGCACCAGGAGCACAGGTGTGTTGGTCCGGATGATCTGCCAAGTTGCCAGCTGCAGTTTCAAACCCAGGAGGTGGTGGAGGCAAGGGGTAGGGCTACAGAAAGGTGGAAATACCACAAACCAGGGCTTTGAACCGGTTCGTTCCTGTTCAGTCATGGCCAAAGAAGCAAAACTGGAGCAGGAAAAATTATGGGCCGAAGCCTTGCTAGAAACCTAATCTCCCTCTTAGAAAACAAGGGCAGCATAAGCGTTGCATAGCAACCAAATCTCTTGTCCCTCCAAGTCAGAAACAGTACTGTCCGACTCAAAGTTGGCAGCCAGCTGCACCGCTCTGAATGTCTGTCGCTCTCCACAGTCCTGTCAACAATCCAGTCTCATCCCTGAGGCTCCTGAAAGGGTTCACTATGCCTCTTCCAAGTCTCCCATTCCAGGGTATGTTCCAGAACACCCAAATTGTAAAAATTCTAGTCTATTCCAGTTTTGCTGCATTGGCCATGGATGAACCGGTTCAAACCGGTTCAAAGCCCTGCTACAAACTGACTAAAGTTGTTGAGGCAAAGCAAGTGCAAGAGAAACAAGAGAGAGGAATAGAAGAAAAGAAAGGGCAAGAGAAAGGACTTGTCTAGGAATATCAAATGAAGGAAAGAAAGTAGCAAGCATGGAAAAAGAGAGACTGTGAAGAAAGGAGGAGCACACAGTCTGCTTAAAAACAAAGCAGGGGGTGAGCCTGAACACTAAACAGAGAAACTGACCGAAATTTAGGGTCGAAGTAAATATTAATGGGGAATAAGTGTGAACTTAGGAAGACAAACTTTCCCCCCCAAAATCACCCTGCCTACTGGGAGATTTAGTTGATTCTGACATATATTGCACTCTCCCCCGATATATTGTTTAAACATATCACAGCTAGAGATAAAATCAATATATTACGAAACAAGGGGCAGGAATCTCCAGTTTATCAAAGCCATCTGGGGGCGAAGAGACGAAAGTTTCCAAAGCAGTTACACAAAGCTGCAAGCTCGCCCCTCTGCCTTGAGGCGCACTTCCCCCTCTCCCCACCTCCAACCCGGTGCCTTCAGTCTTTCTGGCCGTCGGTCCTTCCCCTCCCCGGCCTCGAACACTCACGCAGGTGCGCTGGCAGGCGGATCGAGTCTTCCTCCATCCTGAGCGCTCGGGGCACTGGTACGTGCAGTGGAGTCGAGGCAGCGTAATTCGGCACCGGGCTCTCTGGAGGTGTATATGAAATTCGTTCCTGCTGTTAAAAATAAAGGCAAGAAGAGGGGAGGGGGGGAAAGACAATGAAACTTTGGAATGGAGGTGTGAAATCGAGGGGGGCTGGGAGCAAAAGGGAGATGGGGGCCCACAGAGCACCGCGGAGCAACCCGCTTGCTCCCCCTCTAGAGGCTCCATGTGGTTTTTCAGATCGCTAGTATTTGGCGTTTGTAACATAAACCGGAAAGGTTTAAAATAGGGCTTTCCTTTGGACCGGGTCAGTAGGTACGCATCCTATGTTCGAGTGAAGAGGAGGGACAAGGATGAGTGAATGAAAAACTGTGTCCAGGAGAATGGCTTAAATAACAACTCTCAAAAAAAAAAAAACAGTTTCTCCAAATCACATAATTAATGTCACCAATACATTCAATCCAAGTTTCTCCTTCTCTAGTAATACCTTAGCTTCTGATCAAAAGTATGATTCTATACTTAGACCTAATGAGAGTGAGCTAAATGGGGTAAGTGGTGGCTTAAAAGGCAAGTTTTAGATTTAGTGGATAAATCTATGGTAAGATTACTGTCTGCATATCTCACTATACAACAAGAACAACCAAAAAGATCCAACGTTTAGTTTTTTCCTTCATAGCAGGGAATCATCTGCAGCATTAACTGGTATCTCCTTGTTCCTTGATTCTCCATGTCAGAATCAATTTTTTTCCTTCCCTTCTTAAAATTTCAGAGCTCGTTCAAAGAATTATCTATATTTAGGGCCAACGAAAAACCAAACCAGTTGCTGTTGAGTCAATTCCGACTCAGGGCAACCACGTATGTGTCAGAGTGGAACTGTGTGCTTCATAGGGTTTTCACTGGCTGTGATCTTTCAGAAGCATATCACCAGGCATTTCTTCTGAGGCACCTCTGGGTGGATTTGAACCTTCAACCTTCCAGTTAGCAGCTGAGCCCTTAACTGTTTGGACTCCTACACTTAGGGACCAAAAAAAAACCCTGTTGCCGTCGAGTCGATTCCAACTCATAGCAACCCTACAAGACAGAGTAGAAATGCCCCATAGGGTTTCCAAAGAGCGGCTGGTGGATTTCAACGGCCGACCTTCTGGTTAGCACCCAAACTCTTTAGCCACTGACAGTACCATTTAACTACAGATACTTATTTAACTTCAAAGGAAGGGGGTGGTGCTTCGGCAGGTCCACTGTTTAAATTCAAACAAGCGGTGTTTGCTAGATCAATTAAAACAAAGTGGATAGGGTGGGAAGGATTATTATTAATTTAAAGTTAAAACACTGCAAATAATGGCAAGGAACCAAGTAATGTGTTCAGCTAGAGCTGCAGTACAGTCTGCAGGTTAGATCTACATACCGACAGTTCGACTTGCAGTCATCTATACATAAACATAACTTCTGTTAGTTTCTCTGGTTAAACTGGGCAAAGCAGGACAGACAGAGACCGAAAATAAGTTAAGGGGAAAAGACCAGTAAGACGCCACTTTGAAAATTAAAACTAGGAGCAAAAGAAAATCACAGATTAAAATAAGCTGAAAAAGGTGTTTATGTTTTGGAAAGATACAAAAACCCATTGCCCTCTAGTCAATTCCAACTCGTAGCGACCCTACAGGACGAAGCAGAACTGCCCTATAGGGTTTCCCAGGCTACAAATCTTTACAGAAGCAAGACTGCCACATCTCTCTCCCAAGGAGTGGCTGGTGGATTAGAACCCCTGACCTTTTGGTTAGCCGCTGTGCACTTTAACCACTGTGCCACCAGGGCTCCTTTTTGGAAGGATAGTTCTCTAATATTTTACATCTCATCAAATACGTGCAAAGGAAAACAGGACAGTCCCCCCCACCCCCCAGCCCTATAAACCAAATTAAAGCTTTCCTATAACCCGGCCCTGTAAGACAAATTAAAGCTTTGTCTGCTCATAGCTTGGAAAGTTTGGTGGTTGCGGTAGGAAGTTTGACTTTAAACGAATATATCCATATTTTTGTAATTTCTGAATGGAATTGCTATATCCTCCCTGAGGCATCCACCACCAGCAGCTAGGGCACTTGGAATATTTCTGTCTAAACATATATCCTAAAGTTTCCTGGTGAATTCCTTGATTAAGGGCAGGCACATATACCCTAGCTTTCATTTCTGTATCAGTTAAGATATCTGGAGAAAGGTCACCCAGAGGCAAAACCTTCAACGTCAGTTTTTTTTGAACCTTACCAAACACCACACATATTCTGTACAATTCTAATTTAAGGATGGGTTATACTTTTCCATGTTTGGTTAGGGGTTGTTTTGGGTGAAAGAGGCAAACTCACATAAACACATGTATGAGAAACACGTATGTGTTTCGGGTTGCAGGGTGAGATGGACATTTAAGTATTTTTCATGTAGTCTGTTTTTCGAGATTAACAACTTCTCCATAGTCTTCAACCCTTGCATAACCCCTAATCCCATTCTATGTCTAGATATCTTATCTACGGTTAACTTTTTTGCCAGAAATAGCTTTCTGTTTGCTAGGGGATTTTTTGCAGAAGTGAAATCGTTGATGAAGAAAACTTGCAGAGACAAAGGGTCTTCAAACGGCATGGCACAAACGCAAGAAAGATGGCTTTTGTAATATGATGACTTTCTATTAAAGTAAGAAGAAACTTAACGAGATTCTCTAAGGAGTCCGTAAGAGTGAGAGGTCACCTCACCCAACCTCACCAACTCCATCAAGGGCAAGCTGGAAGGAATCCAGCCCTCAATGCTGATTTTAATTTATTTCTTGATAAATCTACCACCATCCAGTTGACAAAACAGTCAAGCCAAGAAGCACCTTTAAAATACGTATATTTTGACTTGCTAAATTATCACTGTATTTTACCTTCATTTCACTGTACCTTCTTTGGAAGCAGCCCATTACTATGTTTACACTTTTACGTGGTTCCCTGTCCTTACTGCTACACTGAAAGGCCAAATTTCAGTACTTGCCCTGGGATATTCCTCATGTCCAAACAATTCTAGATGGAGGCAACTGGGCTGTTTGATGGTAGAAGGTCCTAACTGAAAAGCAAGGTCAGAGGCGAAGTGATTGTGACCTCAGACTCCTCTCATTCCTGGTGATGGTTCCCACTCAGCCAAAGGTCGGTATTGGCATGCCAAAGGCTCAGGCTGGGAAGCTCTTCCTAAAAGCTTTAGAAGAAGACACGGTCAGTAACAAAAGAGATTACCTTGACCGAGAGGGAAAACCAAAATGGCGCTTCCAGGGCCTTGAGGGGAGTCCCTGGGTGGTGCAAATGGTTAGCACGCTGGGCTGCTAACCGAGAGGTTGGAGGTTAGAGTCCATCCAGAGTTGCCTCAGAAGAAAGGCTTGGGATCTATTTCCAAAAAATCAGCCATTGAAAACCCTATGGAGCACAGTTCTACTCCAGCACGCATGGGGTTGCCATGAGTTGGAATCGACTCAATGGCAACTGGATAAAAAGGGCCTTGAGCAATTTGCCAGCAGCCATTACACATAATCCTGGGCTCAGGGGCCAGCAGAGCCCTCGGGACCCCGGAAAAGATGGGCTCCGTTCCCAGGAGAACAAACCCTACACCTGAGAATCCCACGCTGCACATTTAACTCCTTTTGTTTCTCTTCTTATTAACCTCAGGGTGACTCACGTGCTCCTCATTTTTTCTTCTGTTAATATAACCATCCACATCACATCTGTAATGACGTAATCAGCAGACTATCGGCAAATAGAAAAATTTTTAAAAATGCAGCCATCTCAGATGGACACGTGTAGACAGAGAGCCTTAAGGAGACTAACATCCGATTTCCCAAATAAAGGGAACCCCTTTATTCTCACAATGGATTCTCTGGTCTGACTCCAACAAAGGGGAAGTGCCAGCTTACAGCTCGCTCACCTCTAAAGCAAATTGTCAGACAGATGAAAACCAGGGTGCTTTATTTTAACTCTACAGGGGGATAATGGTTTTCCTGAGAGGATTATAACCACTGCTCTAATTAAATTAAAATGCCACAGACAGTGATATTAATGCATTCAAGCGTTGTAGGGGGATAAAGTGCCAAGGCAGGTCAATGATGGGACTAAAAAGGCCGTGATGCGGTTACAGTGTTGTTTAGATGCTGGGGGGCGGGGGGGGAAATACACCGCTTTCAATTTTGCAGACACAACCTATCAAACCAACCAGCTGAACAGAAGGGAAGCACGGCAATTTCTGAGGCCTGTGACAAGGATGTCAAGGAGGGGCTAAGGGAAATAGCACAAAGCTCTGAAACGAGAAAATAAGGTTAAAAAAATCATTTTAGGGAAGGGTTGAAGTATAAATTTTACTAACCATTATAGAAAGCTTTTTTTTTAATGGAATATGGAGTAGGGTTGTTTCCTGCAAGCACAGCTATGGAAACCAGAATGAGCTGCATGAGCTGCACGCCCTCTGCTCCTTCTTCCACCTAACCATGAAGGGCCAATGAAGGAGACCCATCTAATGCTGCTCAGTTCTCATCTGAACACTTAGAAACCTGTGACTTCCACATAAAACAGGCCTACCCGTTTTATGCCGATGAGCACAAAGTACACACACAAATGTGCTTGGTAGGACAATGCCATTTCCCCCTTCCCCTCCCTGGGCTGCACATTATAGAACAGAAAAGTAAAAGAAGAAAAAAAAAAATTCTTATTATCAAAAAGTCTTTCCTTTCCAACATTATTCCACTTCTGTAAATCACTGGGGACCCCACTAGTGCACTTAAGCATGTGCTGATAGACAATTAACTCTTTGAAAAGACTGAGGGGTTGGGAAACTTAAAGCCTACTGTTAATTAAATATTAACCTTTTGGAAATAAAGATAAAGCATTTCTGGAATTTAGAAAAACAAAGTTTGGTTGTACTTGCAAAAAAAAAAAAAAAAAGTCGATAGGTAATTTCAAAGATTCCTCTTCTGCGGAGCTGAGATGTCCTTGAGTTAGGAACTTTCCAGAAACAGAGTGGCGATCATTTCGCTGGGAGCTGTGGTTAAAAATGCCACAGGCACCCTTTCAT